AAGCCATTGACATGAATTGAATTGAAGAGAAATTCAATATGATAATTTGAAATGTTTAGTTCAAGCTTGGGGTTAATACATGGTAAGTGCTGCCATGTGGCCATATAAAAGCTCTTATCCCCCTGTATGATTGAAAAAATAATATCAAAAATGCAATATTAATATCAAGATCATAATTTTTAAAATTTGACTTAATCAGATTACTATAAAAGGAAAAATCTTGAGAAAGAATATTTTCACAACTGATTCAAAGCAACCTTAACATTTCAGGGTGACTTCATGCAGACTGTGTATATGTACTGAGTACTTTATATGTGATTGTTCGTCCCAAAACTTAAACCTTCAGTGTCAATAGAATAATAGAAATCATACTACAGAACTGTCAAAGGCTGGTCTTGAATAAAATAATGAGTCACACTAACAGGGGTCATCCTAAGGCCTCCAATTTTACAAAATGGGTGTAGCTTTAAACGTAAAATCGTATCAGTTCTAAATCTTAAAAAGGGCATTTCTAAAATTGAGTTTTCGAGATTTGTACGAAAATTAGTTATTACTTCCACACAGATATTTAAGGCAAAAACAAAACCAAATGTCACTCTGAAAACGCACGAAATGGCCATTCTCGACTTCAAAATTTCAACATTTTCCGGGCAGCATGCCTCAAGATCCTTCTAGCTATTCAGGTATCCAATACGCCATGCAGCCATGACTTTAATTGTCTCTCGTTACTGCCACATATAGTTAGCCTGTGTTCGCTACCTCGCAGTCTATTGATGTCGAAATGGGCAGTTCAAATATTTTAAAGGATGACCCCTGATGAATCATTCACCAAAAAACACCCACAGTCCACATCTCCTCCTTGGAATAGTTTTGGCAAAGACCGAATAAGCCTGACATTTAATTAACTGCGGAAATTGACCATGTGAAATAGTCATTAAAGCAGTAACCGCAATGTTATCCTATCAGCTATATACCTCACGTAACTACATTAAAAATAACACTACGAAGAACAGACATATATATGACACGTGATGTGAAGCGTTTCTTGAAACAAGCAATAAAATCAATATTATAGCGGTTAGGATTGATGTGCAATTGTTGGTAAATACTTTCAATTCTCAGGTGGATAATAAACTAAATGGATAGGACTCTAGCTGACGTAAGCAAAAACAACCTAGTTGCAATCTGTGACGTCACGCGTATTGCAAAGTTCTCGGCATTTTTGTTGTTTCGCTATACTTTCCGCTTTAAAAGAGTAATATTGAAGCATATACTGGTCTAATTGTTTTAAAAACATGCCTAAGCCACGACAAAGTATTCAAGATAAATGTTTTTCGTCTTTGTTTTGTATTTTTTTTACATTTGTAGCTACGAAATTGGCGTCCCCAATTTTAACGAAATTTGGGATCGATGCCTTTTTCACTGTTTAGTGCTTGAAATATTTGCTAAAATTGACTGGGAATACTTAGAGATTTCATCGTAGAGTGGCGTGGTTATATTCATTTGCTCTTTGACTAAAATGTTTGGCTGTATTATTGCTAAACATGCCGTTTTTGAGAATTTGGTTTGCAACTAGGTTTCAACATCCAATCACGCCATCAGCCCATTGAAAACATTAGGTCACGTCAGCTAGTTTCCTATCCATTTATTTTATTATCCATGGTATAACTAGTAAGTTCTAAAATAGAAGTAGCTGTCAGTCTATCGGTAGTCGAAGTTTTCTCTCATATGATATCGTTTTCAAGTAGCACCCTCTCTAAAAGACCTGGCGAACTTATTAAATTTATCCAGGTTTCAACCCACAGGTAAATTTTGACATCAGTTCTCGTGAAAACAATATGAACTGACAAGAGTCAAACACCACTATTTAATCATTAATTGAAGCAGTGAAATATTCATGGCCGTTTTATGTCTCTTCGTCATCACTCTGTGTTTAATTGTACCATTTGTACAACACAAATATACCATACCCTCCTTCACACTCAGTACACTCGATAACCGATATACAAGCCTGAGTACATTTTGCAGTTTCGCGCCTTTTAGTATATGCATGTCAAACCTCATCATCTCTCATCCTCGTTTGACTGGGGCTTATTATGCTGTCTATTGATAAGGTTTTCGCTGCAGATATTTTTTGTATTGACGTAATGCTTTATTGGGATAGGTCAATTACGTATGGAAGCCGGAAATCAAAGTGTACCGATTGTGCATGGTGTTTGGGTAACCTTGCAAAGCATTGAATTGAGACGTGACTAGGATGCGAATGTTACCAAGAGCTAGAAGTTACTATGTCGAATCTCGTAGTCGTACGCTTTGAAGAGACGTAACCGGTAACCGTCCCAAAAAGGTATAAAATTAATAATTTGAATAATTTTATAACATTTACTGTAAATGATTTCCATCGACGTTTCACTGTTAATCGCTTCGCCATTACGGTTATATATATATATATATATATATATATATATATATATATATATATATATATATATATATATATATATATATATATATATATATATATATATATATATATATATATATATATATAAGGTGATGTATGATTTGAACATTTAGCCCACATCTTAATTAAATGTCCGATTTAGGAATCAAACTATACTACCAGAGCAAAGTTAATATATCAATATCCAAGCACAATGTAAAATTAATAAGAGACTGTCTGCATTATATTTTCAGCAAAACCAAAGCCTTAATAAGATAAAGTACCAAGCTCAGCAAATCAATGATGATCGAGTTTAATATGTCGCGAAGTCACTGTGATTTATATCATATTGTACACCTTTTTTCAAGTATTAAAACAAGACGTTTCCATTGCTAGTCTGCATTCTTTGTCTGGTAAATGGCAATCGGAATATTTCGCAATGAATTACTAAATTATTCGCATATATTGGATTAATGACCATCTTTAATTTCCCATGCAGCAGCAGGCTTTCTTTTATCTAACTTTCATGTTCTAGCTAAGCGCTTTTGTATATGACAAAAGGTGGTGTTAATTATAAGTAGAAATGTACATTTTTTATCCAATATCACAAAGTGGAATACCTATAATTACGAATTGATTGTTCTTTGCTTTGTAAAACAAACTACGACAAGAATTTCTAAACGGCTTTAGATAGGAAGAGAAATGTACATTTTATCTAATATTTAACTTTATACAGACCTTTCGAAATTAAGCTATTGTTGGAATTTGAATGCTTAGTACTATGCCGAAACCACGGTGCGTAAAAAAAATGAAGTGAAGTTTATGCATGCAGATGAAGTTGTTTAAAACTTTAACTTGGTTTCGTCCAACGTCGTAAAACAGTGTAGAAATTCGTTGCTCTGTGCTCAGTCAGTGAACCACTTTTATTCGAACTGATGATATGGCTAATCAGTAATTTGACAATTTTTGTGTCCTTCAAATTCATATGATTAGAAGTTATTTTAAATTTCCAGCAATTCCTGCATAAAATCATATGCTTAAAGGGGCAGTGTCACGGTTCTACTGCGCATCCAAAATATGCGCGAACTTGAAAAACTGTCTGCCAACAATTAATCAAGTTAGGAGAGAAACACGATATACTATTTAAACCCTTCGTCATGCAGGACGTCCTTACTTTGTTCTAAAAATTGAAGGTTGCTGCATCTTTTCCAATCATGTAGCATTAATTTTTAACGTTTCTTTGAGCCGTTTATTTGAGCCAATCAGCGCAGTGTCACTGCCCTTTAACGACAATAGCTTGATTTCTAAAGACCTCGTTTTTGTATGCACTCTGTATCACATCATTAAATTCTGCATGGTTATTAATTTAATAACCCTTTCGTCAATTACGTCATTTGGTCTGCATGGGAGCCTCGTTCTCATGAATCGTGAGCCAATCACCTTGCGTAATTTACTAATGAGAGCGAAGCTGCAAGACCAAAAAGTGTTTGTGACGTAATTATCGAAAGGGTGTATTGGTTCATTATGATATTCAATAAAAATTCCCATTTTATTGAACGCGTTCCATTGCACTTGTATGTTTCAAAAATGCAACCCTTGCATGATTCAGCACTAATTGATTCCAAGGAAGTTATTTCACACAATAGAAAGGAATTTCATGTTTGGGGATGTACAGGGTGTCCCCAAAAAAGTGACACTATAGAAATTATCCTATTGTTATAATTTGAATGCCCTAGCACTAAGTTGATCCCACAGGTGCATAAACTTCCAGGGGCGGATTTAGGGGTCGTCAAACCAGTCACGCGACTAACGTAAAAATTGCAAACTTAATTAAAGTCTTAAATATTCGACCAATAGTCCAGTTATTTTTTATCATGCAGCGACATCTTATAATAGTCCAGTATCTATTATCATGCAGCGCTAGCATTTAACATTCCAATCGAACTGTAGTCCAGTGATCAAATTTCATACAGTGGTTGAGCCGACGAGCTTAGTCAAGTCAATGAACAGCTGACATACGCAAAGTCGGTCAGTCAAAAAGTCAAAATCCAGTGTTTTGATTGGTCTAGACGCTTATTGCCATGGCAACAAGCGATTTTTTGCGATTTTGACTGATCTGTGGGGAGTTCTGACCGATTTACAAAAGTCAGGGGCGCTCCATTAGTCGGAATATCATAAATATTTGACGCGTGGTAAAGTCTTTCCAAGCGCGCGCTCATTCGAAGTGTCATTTTGTAGCTTTGTTGGAAGATTCAATTTAAAGATATCTACGGAAAATTCGGAAATGTCTGCTGCTCCAGACTCCAGTCCTTGTAGTATTCACGAAACGGTTCAATCCGCATTTGCAGTGAATGATTTAGCTATCTTACAAGACTGTTGCGCTGATCTTGGGAGGAAAATCTCCGGCCGCTACCAGAGAGTCACTGTTCTGTGTGAGACCTCGGGTACACTCCCTGTACTGTCTGGAGTTCCTCAGGGATCAATCTTGGGGCCCCTCCTTTTCCTAGTATATGTGAACGATCTTCCACATTCCATCTCGGGCGAATCAACTGTGGCAATGTTTGCCGATGATACCAAGTGCTACCGTCCGGTGAAAGATTTACCCGATTGCGAAAGTCTGCAGAATGATCTCAATAATCTCGTGAACTGGTGTACTATCTGGAAGATGGACTTAAATAAGTCTAAATGCGGAGTAATGAGCTTCACAAGAAGTCGCCAACCAGTCGCAACAAATTATAAACTACTGGATAGTTCTCTGAGGCAACTATGTCATCAAAAAGACCTTGGGATTGTTGTCACAAAAGATCTCAAGTGGACGAAACAGGTTGAGGAAATAACATCAAAAGCGAGCTCAATGCTAGGCTTCATTCGTCGAACAGCCTCCGACACGCATAACATCCACGTGCGAAAGGTGTTGTACCTGTCCTTAGTGCGCAGCAAGTTAGGATATGCCAGCCAGGTGTGGGCACCTCAAACTGTCAGCGACATACTGTCAATAGAACGGGTTCAACGTCGCGCGACCAAATTCATCCTTTCCCTTCCTTACAGAACAGCCACAACATACAGGGAACGACTACTGGTTATCGGTATTCTCCCGGTCTGCTATTGGCACGAATTTCTAGACTTAGTTTTTCTTTACAAGAGTATTCTAAGCAACGATGTCAATGTGTCAATACGAACAACCACCCGGACGACTAGAAACGCTGACGCTGTCAATGGTATTCTTCTTAATGTATCTCGATGCAGGACAGTTAGCTACAAGAACAATTTTTATGTGAGAGCGCCTAGCGTATGGAACATTCTCCCTAGCAATATTCGTGACACTTCAAGATCATTAGCTTACTTTAAAATCTCTTTATTCAATTACTACTTAAACCTTTTAGAACAAATATACAACCCGGACAATCCTAGAACATTTAAGTCTGTGTGCGTCAAATGCCACTCAACTCGGTCTCTTGATAGTTTATCTTGATAGGTAATCACCAGTTAGTGTAATCACGAGTCGGACGTGTTTTTTTCGCTCCGCTAAAATCTATTTCAAAGATGAATGCTAATAAAGACAAGGGAATTAGCCTTCTACATAATATATCGCTCAATGATAAAGATAAGCTGAAATGGACAGGAACATTTCAAGCGTTGCAAATGTTTGTTGAAGAAGGGCTAAATATATCTAATGGCATTTGGTCTTCCCCTGGTGGAGATGCAAAGCAATTTAAAGCTAAAGATATAGACTTGCGATGGTACTCCGACACCCAATCTATCACGCTTAATGGAAAACTTAAGGAAGCAACCAAAGAGCAGTTGATTTCGTTGGCTTCGGTGTCAAAACGACTTAGTGCCGTTGAAGAAAGCGAAGCAGGGAATCAGGACAGCTATAATGAGAACGTTAGCTTCGAGCAATCGAGCGAGTCGGAGAAATCAAGCGAGTCGCATTCGTTGGAAAAGTCGAGCGAGTTGCATTCTAAAGAAAGCAAAGCAGGGAATCAGGACAGCTATAATGAGAACGTTAGCTTCGAGCAGTCGAGCGAGGCGGAGAAATCGAGCGAGTCGCATTCTTTAGAATATCTAAATAATCGATTAGAAGCACTAAATAAAGCAGTATCTACCAATACAGCTGCTATAAAGTCGCTCATTGAAAACACGAATGACAGTAAACAGCCAAATTATCAAGAATTAGAAAACGAAATTGCCATACTAAAAGAAAAGAATCGTAAACTTACGGATAAGAATGCAAAACTTAAAGTCGAGAACAGTGACTTGGAAGCGAGAATTAACAACTTAGCCTATATATTAGCCGATTTGCAAGGAAAGGCCAAGAGTGCCGAGCAAGAAAAAGAAAGTCTAATTACTGCTATGAGACTACTGGTCGAAGATTCGAACAACGAACCCAACGCCACAATTAAGAATTACACTGGTGAAACGAGTAAACAAAGCGAGACACAGGATTCAGTTGATTGCGCTGGGCAAACAAAAGAAGTGTTGAATCCGAACATTCAAGTGAGTAATAGATTTTCCAACCTTAACACTGAGGAAAGTAATGCAGATGACGTGGATGTTACGCAGAATGACCTTGTTACCGCTCATACAGAACCAGCAACGAAACCTAAACAAGTAAATGAGAAATATAACAGAAGGCATCATACTGGCAGCAAAGAAACGAAGCAAACTTATCATCACCCTCGTCCTAACGTTGCTATCGTGGGAGACTCGATGCTCAAGCACATAAATCCTACACAGCTAAGGAGAAGTACAAGGAGCTTTAACACTCAAATCAAGACGTTTCCAGGTGCGAAGGTAAGCGATATGGAATATTATGTTAAACCTACTCTGGCCCGTACACCCGACCATTTGATTCTGCATGTCGGTACAAACGACGTGAGACAAAGTACACCACAAGAGATAACAAATGCCATATCCATGCTTGGGCAACAGATCAAGAAGGAACTACCTACAACGAATCTTGCTATTTCAGAAGTAATTACAAGAAATGATGACCCAAGTCTGAATACGAAAATTACAGAACTTAATACTAAGCTATCCCAGGTATGTACCAATAATAAGTGGAAGATCATTACCCACAGAAATATTTCCTCTGAACATTTGAACCCATATGGGCTCCATCTTTCTAAACAAGGAACAGCTAAATTAGCCCAGAACTTTACAAACTATCTAAAAAATCCTAATTGACCATCTACCGATGCTCCACCCCCTCCACAACCTGTTACCAATACAATAAAGCCAGTAAAGCAACCAAACCCTATTCTTCCTAAACTTAAAGGTTTCAAAGTAGCACAACTTAACATCGCTAGCTTGCCTAAACACTATGAAGAACTACTTATTTATATGCGTGATGAACCTTTCGATATATTGACCTTAAATGAAACTAGATTAGACAGTACTTTCCTAGACTGTGAAGTACAGATACCTGGTTATGATATTGTCAGATCTGACCGAAACAGACATGGGAAAGGGGTAGCTATATATATAAGGACTATCATTCCATATATCGTACGTGAAGATTTATTACAAGATACTCTCGAATTGCTTTGTATTGAAGTTAGAAAACCCAAAAGTAAACCAGTGCTTATTTCAACTTGGTATCGACCACCGAGTGCAAAAATTGAATTATTCCAAAAGTTCGAAAACTTCTTGAAGCTGATTGATAATGAAGACAAAAATATTATCATAACCGGGGATCTTAATTGTAATTTTATTGAGCACACTCAAAACCAAGCTACTTCTAAGTTAATTGATATTATTGATATTTTCCAACTGCAGCAACACATACAAACCCCCACTAGAACTACTTATAATTCTTCGTCTCTGATTGATTTAATTCTTACACATATCGACGATGATAAAACCTTAGAAGCCGGGGTTGTTGACCTTGGGATTAGTGACCATAGTCTTGTTTATATATGTCGGAAAATTAGCATTCCTAAAGAGCCACCAAAAATTGTATTTACACGACAGTTCAAAAATTACAACTCCCCCCAATTTAAAGAAGAGCTAAGCTACTATACTAATCTAGATCCCACATCGAATGATCCAAATGTGCTATGGAATGAATTTAAGAACAACTTTCTTACTATTGCTGAAAAACACGCGCCAGTTAGACAGCGTCGCGTTAAGAGTGAGCATAAACCATGGCTGACGAAAGAAATAAAACGTTTAATGCATCATAGGGATTATCTTAAAAGACAGAGTGTTCGTTTAACATCGAGTAATTATAACGAGGCCTACAAAAGATGCAAGAATAAATTAAATAAGCTTATTAAAAAGACTAAGGAAGAATACTTTAAAACGAAGTTATCTAATGCAAATAATAGCAAAGAGAGTTGGCAGGCTATTAATGAGCTATTAAACAAAAAGCCCAAAACTACCCATGTAACACAGCTAAATGTAGATGACCAAGTTATAACTGGAGACACAAATATTGCGGACTGTTTTAATCAGTATTTTTCATCCATCGGTTGTAAACTGTCGAAAAATGTCAAAAATATTAATGTTGACCCTATGACATTTGTCACTCCTACGGAGAGTTCGTTTCATTTTTCATGTATTTCAGTCCAAGAGACTTTTGACGCCTTAAACCAACTTAATTCAAGGAAATCACCAGGACTGGACGGCATAAGTGTAAAACTATTAAAAGATACAAGCGATGTTATCGCGCAACGCCGCAACCATTAGCCAACATCTTTAATCTATCTCTTCAGACTGCAATTTTTCCGGACGAGTGGAAAATCGCCAAGGTATCACCAGTCTTTAAAGAAGGGAATAAAACTGATTGCGGAAATTATAGACCAATCTCTGTAATTTCTGTGGTTGCTAAGCTGTTTGAAGGGCTAGTGTACAATCAATTGAGAACGTTTATTGCCGACAATAGCATTCTTGTAGAGCAACAGTCCGGTTTTCGTTCACAACACTCTACTGAGACGGCACTCTCAGGTTCGACAAATGAGTGGTTATATAACATGGACAGTGGCTTAATCAATGGAGTCCTGTTCTTGGACTTGAAAAAAGCTTTTGACAC